TGCTTGCCCCAACCCAGGTGCAGGATGAAACGTGAATGCTTTTACGTATAAATACTCAGAGGGTCTGACTCAGGAGACGAACGATGGGTAATGTTCCACCTCTCAGCCAGTAGTTTGTTGTGGAGGTGATGGTTATTACAGCGTTACATGATGTCCCTTCCCTTTGTTCTGGCAAATGGCAGCACTGCTGTGCACCAGCGGTGATCCCTATTGCCATCTTTTTCTTTCCTCAGCTTTATTTTGCCTCATGTATATCCGCTCCCTATTGCCACTGAATCTGTGTGCTAATCGTTTGTAAAGATGGAACCTTCTGTTGCTGTAATCTAGGTTTCCATATGTATTTATGAAACATTTTTAAAATCAAATTAATCTTTTGATAGAGCTGTCATGGAAAACTCCCAGTTCTCGGAGTCTTTTACATTTGATTCCCAAGGTCCTTTATTTTGAGTTAACAGCACATCTCTTCTGTCTTTTTTAAAGCTACTTGCACGACTCGAGGGCAGAAGCTGTCTGAAGAATCTTGAACCTTATCTCTTTGCTGAGGAAGGATCTCCTGTGCATGGTAAAAATGTATCTTTATCCCATTTATGGAAAAATGTTGCTGTAAAAGTAGTCTCAGAGCAGTATGACAGAGATAAGCATACAAGTAGATCTTTTTGCCCTGGATTCAGAGTTTCAATTGTTGATGTAGTTTTATGCAAACTAGATATCATGAAATAACACAAAGTTGCCATTCTGAACATTATTAAATGGAGTTTAAAATATCAACTTTATGAGTATCAAAATATAGGTGTGAGTAAATACCCAGTACGTTGGTCTGTTTCTAGTAGTTTTACGGAAATTTGTTCTAGATTTGTCATTTAACCCCTTTTTCTTAATCAGTGGCCTGAAAAAATAACCACAAAGTCTGCAGTTACACAGAAACTTTCAAATTTTGAGTTTAAGGAACTCAGGGTTTAATAAATAGCAATGAGCTCAGGGATATGGGGTAGTCTGGATCAGTTAGGGAAAAGGGCATGAGCTAACTATTTTTCAGTAAAGCCAAGTCATCAAACCATTCTGTCTTGGCCTGAAAAATCCAGATTATACTTAGATGGAACTTTGGAAGCAATTCCATTATGAACATAGGTCCTAGTCAGCAGAATGAGTTTGCGGGAAAAGTTAGGATCAACATGGCTTATATAGACCTTCGGTGAATAAATGGGAATTTCAAATTGGAGAAATTGGGCTGCCTCCCAGTGATGTCAGTGCAAGTTTAAGGTAGACTCTTCTAGCAAGAAGTTTTAATGTCAGGACTGGATAGTTTAATGAAAGAAGTTGCTGAGCGAAACAGAAATTAGCACATTTAGTAATTCCTTGGTTATTCATGAAGTCAGGCTGTTTTTCCAGGTCGTGTGAAATTTCATGGCTATCACAGTGGGTGATGGACAACTCTGATTACACAGAAACTAGGAATCTATAGTTAGAAAAGGAGCATGTATGGCAAACTGTAAGGATCATGCTGTGAGGTACCCGAGTTGTTGAGTGTATGTATGAATGGATTTCATATGAAAAGGCTGTGGCTGCAGCGGTTATCGACATACTTGTCTGCAGTTTGAATTCCCGCAAATTACAGAAGGTTCAAAAGAAATAGCAGAAAAAGCAGTAAAAAGAATCAAGATAATTGGATGAGAGATGATGCTTAGTCTACAAATGCAGTCACTGTGAGACTACTCGTGTGTTATTTTGCAGCACTTGAGAGTACATTAGGGGTTTAGAAATATATGATTCCTGCCCTTGAAAGTTTCAAATGCAATATAAAAAAAGATAAAGGGGAGAGAAATACCGGTAATCCAGTGCAAATGGAGCGGAGAAGATTATTTAAATGCTCTAAATTCTGAACTGCTTTGTTACTCAGAATAAGAATTAAAAACCAGTAGTGAAACTGGTATATGCTTCACAAGGCTGCTGAAGCCTTAACAATTTTTTTAAAAGATGAGATATTTTTGTTTTGAAAAAACGCAGTAATAGAAAATGCTGATCTTTCAGTCTATTTGTTTTTTAATGAGCTTGACAAGAAACAAGTATTTGAGACTAAACTGCCCGTGTTCTGGTAGAATAGACTATAAGAATCCTTCCTGGGGATCAGTAATTGCCCTTGCCGTCACAGTCCAGAGTGTTACATAATTCTATTCATCCAATATCAGATTTGATCTTAAAGATATATAGGTTGTTCGAGTCTGTCCAAAGAGAGTTGCAGAGCCTCACTTCTGAGATGGCTGGAAACCTAAATTCGTCACTGGTTTCCCTGTGCCAACACGGTCATTGAGCTTCTGAAGCTCTTCTGGTTTTCTTCTGTGTTTCACAAATGGCATCAATTATTATCCTTATCTCCTGCTTGTTCAGCCTGGAGAAGAGGAGGCTCCGAGGAGACCTCATTGCAGCTTTCCAGTATCTGAAGGGGGCCTACAAGGGTACTGGGAGAGGACTTTTTACAAGAGCCGGTAGTGATAGGACAAGGGACAACGGGTACAGATTGAAAACAGGGAGGTTTAGATTAGATGTCAGGAAGAAATTCTTCACAGAGAGGGTAGTGAGGCACTGGAACAGGTTGCCCAGAGAAGCTGTGGATGCCCCATCCCTGGATGTCTTCAAGGCCAGGCTGGATGTGGCTTTGAGCAACCTGGTCTAGTACAAGGTGTCCCTGCCCATGGCAGGGGGGTTGGATCTAGATGATCTTTAAGGTCCCTTCCAACCCTAACCATTCTATGATTCTATGATTATTGGTCATGCTTATGGCTGACATTATTGAAGCTGCATAACATATTAGCACAGATCTTTATATACATAAATGGACTACACCTTTTATTACATTTTTGCTTTGTCTTTTAATACCACAGTGTGTCTCTTTATCTAAGTCCATGTGTTATTTTGATGTGTGTTTCCTTTATTCAATCTTAAATCCCTATTGAAAACCTACCTCTCCATTTGTCATGAACTTGACTTTTAGTAGGTCACTGTGGAATACTGTAATACATTGCCCAGGAGGTCTGTACTGAACGGTTCTTAATCTAAAATGGTATGATTAAAGCAATGCCAAGACATAAATTATTCCTTTTCCTGATGGTATTTGAAACAAACAAGCATATATATGAAATTTCATTGAACTCTCCAAATGTTACAGCATAGTTAAGCGTTCATAACATGTATGTCAGAGTACTATAAAACAGGAACAGCTAATGCAGGTACTGCTGTGATATTCTAGTCACTGCTTCTAATTATGATGGACGTGCATATTTAAGAACACATAACTATGTTAACTACGTACCATTTAAGGTCTACTGGAATGGAGCAAAGGTGGCACGAGCTTTAAATAATCTTCCACTATCGTCAATCATATTTCTCTTGTGCCACTGCTATGGAGGTGTAGGTATAAAGCTCTGATGTTCAGCAATAGTACGACACCCAGCATGAATTTGGAATAAATATTAGCCCTTATAAATGGCACAGATATTAGTGACAGCTTCTGCACAGTATTATGAATTACTAGTCCGGTAACTTCAAGGTAACTGATGATGTGAGTCTTGCAGAGCTATTACTGAGTATTCCAATAGCCTGTTGTAACTGCAGCCTCAGAAAATAGTTTACAAGCATGTCCTAGTGTCATGATTACTGACAAAGCTTAAGGCTCTTCTCATTCAAAAGATAACACTGAATTGATGACCAGGACTCAGCACCACATTTAAGTTAAAAATATACTAGCGTTACATAAATATTTAAGCTTAGGCAACATCATTTAGTTTATCCCGTATGCCTTTGCGTGGCAGTGGACTGTTGTACCCTTTCATTTGAGCTCAGTGGGACACTTCAATCTGTCGTGAGCCAAGCAACGTGTTGGGTTACTCCTTAAAACTCTGAATTTCATATGAAATCATTCTGCTTCTCCATCATGATCTGTTAAATCTTCACAGTCTTAAGTCTTTACTAACCCAATTAATTTGTCTTCTACACGTTTTGCCAAGCTAACGGAACTTTTGTCTACTGCTGGTTTTAATGTGCAACACCTATTCTAATAAGAAAATTTCCCATTAACTTTCTTCCATGTTGAAGCGTCTGTTCTTACTCTGTCTCTCAGTGTTTACATCCCGTAAGAATCTCTTTAGTAATCCTCCTTTCAGGTATTTTGACATTAATGGATGAGGTTAGTACTATCCTGAAGTTTCTCCCATGACCTATTGGAGGGTGTCAGAGGCTTCTTGACAACACTGTTGGCCACCCTTCCTCCTCTGCTGTGTCATGGTTTGTCCGCTCTGATCTGGAAGGATGAACTTTCCCTCTTATCTTACTCTAGCAGCCCCGTTGCTAATTTAATGAAACCCTACATTTTTAGATGTTACTATAAGTGGCTTCTGTTTTGCACCCGTTCTTCTTGTGGGCAGCCTCTTTGATAATCATGAAGGCACAGCAATGCCCAGCTCTCTTGAGGTTATCTTACGGTCCAAGCTGTTACTCTTTTCAGAGTAACAAGTGTTTTGCTCAAACTACAACCCAGATATGTGTCTTGTTCAGCAATACTGAACAAGCTTTGAAGGGTGCTCAGCTCTCTTGCTGTTGAAATGTATAAACCACCAACACAAGACCTCCTACGAACGATCTTTCATTCAACTTCGAATTTTTGCTGAAATGAATGTTAGTTCTGCCAATAAAAGCTCATCCTGTGTTACTCTGTGCATTACAGTTCCCTTACGTAAAGTTTTATAGGAGGTGACAGACAGACATCCTGATAAAATGTCTTCAAAGGGATAAAGTCAAGCATTTATTTCATTTTTTTTTTTAATAATTACCAAACAGTAACTTAGATTTGCTCACTGCTGCTTCTGAGTGGCCATACAGAGTTGCTGTTTCTCCTTAAACAGGTCATATTTTGCTGTAAAGCTAGGTGAAGCAGTCTGTATTGCTTCGTGACCCCAGTCAGCTAGCGATCTGGATTCAGAAATGCCAGTCAGGGTGGCAGAAGTCTTGTGCTGAAGCCAGTGGCAGACGGAAGATATGCTTTGTTCCTTAGCACGAGGTGCCTTAGGCAGTTGTTCCTACATTTAGGAGTTCTTCTAAGCTGGTACCTTATCCTAACAAGGTGTGGTTAAGTCACTGGTACCCTATGGGTGACAGTAAAGCAGCTGCTGGCTGCAAGGGGCAGAGTTGGACATTGCAACCTCTGAGCAGGAAAAGAAAAGGAAGACTATGTCTCAGGAAGTGTAGTCGCCTTTCATCTGAAAAGTGGGGAGAGCCATTCAGAACAGATAAGTAAGGGTCTGGGAGGCAGTCAAGCCTTTTGATAAATTTCAAAGTATTAGAAATTCATAAAAACAGAATTGCAGTTGTGGAGCAGCAGGGGATTTCATCACGGAGAGGCAGGCAGTCTGAGTGCCACAGAAATGGATAGAGTTGTCACATCAGGTGTAAATTGTAAATTCAACATTTGCAGTGGGTAAAGAGCTTCCTTTCTTGCCCGCCACCCTCTGCCCCTCATCCCATGCTGTATCTTGACATTATACACTCTTAGGAGCAAGGGCATCCTCTGGAAGTTGAGTAATGAATTGAAAAACCCTGTTAACTCAGGCAGGCACAAACACGTTGAAGTAAAGTTGCAATTAATTCTCTACTCTTGCATCCCCCCTGTGAAAAGCTGTTATGCCATTTGCACTTGCCAAGGCCATAGAAATCTCACCTTCCTGCAGTTACAGTTGTGTGATTCTCCATACTCCATGTCTTTACACTTCTGCCTAAAGTCTAAAATGTCATAAATAAATGATCCAGTTTCCTAAATTAGAAATTTATAAAGAGCAACTAATAAATTAACTTTTTTTAGAGTCTTGCTCTAAGACATAAGATGACTTTGGAAAAGACTTTAGAGTATCTTGCATTCACATCCAACAAAAGAACAGGTTTCCTAGTAAAGTGTAATGCTTTTTCTAATTAATGTTTTAAATTTATGTGACATATATTTTATTGACCCACGTGGATCAGGCAGTTAGTGAACAGAGATCCTTAGCTTCAGACAGTGGAGTCATTGCCTGGTGTTAAAGGAGCCTGTGAGTCCCCCTTGTCAAAAGAAGCAGTTTCGTAGGATGATCATCACAGAAGAATATAAGTGCTAAATAAATATACTGGTGTTCTTTACCTGTTCGTGTCTGGTGGCATGCACAGATATTGAGCAAGCATATAGCAGCCGTGAAATGTGGAAGGACTGTGCTATAAAAGTAGATGTGCCAACATGGTTAGGACCTCTAATAAGACAACTTCTTTTTGTTCTGCTTGTCCTCTACTTTTTTATTTCTTAATTTTGTGCACATGGATAAATAGATGGTTTCTTAGCCACATTTGTGTAGCAGCTTCTTTTTCAGCCTTCATCTACCTGTAATGATAGATGAAATCCAGTAGCCAACCCTTTATTGATACCAGTGTCCTCTGTTAAAGGAGAGACCACTCGAGCACTCATACACCCTCCGAGGAGTTGCATACTCACTGCCTGAGTCTTTTAACGGCTAGGACCTAAGTCCCTTTGCAGCAGGTGACTCCAGTGAACCAACGGGTACCCCTTCTGACTGCTTTCACAAACATTCTCACCCTAAAGAGCTTCTCTCCTTCCAGGCTCAGCCCATTGTTTCCTGTAGCAGAGCCTCAGATATTGAATCTTTTTCTGGGCAATTACACCCTTATAATCCATGCACCTGCCCCTCACTTGCCTTCTGAGTCCAAGGGTGATTTTTTGGTCTGGGGTCTTCTAACAACTTACTGGATTATTTCTCTGTCTTCAGACGTGCTACTGACTGTTCTCGCCTTGTTGATGGTTGTGGCCTCTGTATCTCCTGCTTTGTGCTCTTGTGCACATGCTCCCTCTGCCAGAATAAGCTTGGGACAAGCACTGCTTAGGAACAACTGAAACATCAGTGTGTTGTCAACACCATTCTCGCACTAAATCCAAACCGTAGCACTGTACCAGCTACTAAGAAGAAAATCAACTCCATCCCAGCCAAAAACATGTCTAAGTGGACATCTACAGCTTGAGGCCTAAGGCTTCAGCAAATCTAGCTACTCATGCTAAGTTATTAATGACCAAACAGTTAGCAAATTACTCAACATCATTCTGTAACCCCTGTGTCCTAATGCTGAATCATTGACTCTGAGCGATTGATTCTATTTAAAACTTGTTTATTTGAACTAAACAACTAGTATTTCTTAATGCCTAGATGCTATTGGAGGGGTTTTTGCAACCTTAATTCCAAGCTGATTTTTCTCGCTTTATAGGCCTTTCTTGAAAATTGAAATTTCTCTTGGTAGCAGCTAAGCAGGATTTAAACAAATGTATGGATATCAAACTCTTAAAAACTGCATTTTCCATTTAGTGGAGTAGTGCGTATTCGTTTGGAGAACACTGAAAACCAGCTCTGAGCTGTAAGTGCTCTTACCTGACAACTTGCTGCTTTGGTTTTGAACAGGAGATGTCATTGAATTCCATGGTCCAGAAGGAACAGGAAAAACAGAAATGCTTTATCACCTGCTAGCTCGCTGCATCATTCCAAAATCAGGAGGAGGACTGGAAGTAGAAGTCATGTTCATCGATACAGACTACCATTTTGACATGCTCCGCCTAGTCACCATCCTGGAGAACAGATTGGCGCAGAGGACGGAAGAAATGATAAAGCGATGCCTGGGAAGGCTTTTTCTGGTGAACTGCAGTAGTAGCACTCAGTTACTCCTCACTCTCTACTCTTTAGAAAACCTGTTTTGCACTCACCCCTCTCTCTGCCTTTTGATCGTAGATAGCATATCTGCTTTTTACTGGATAGACAGAAGCAATGGCGGGGAGAGTCTTAACTTGCAGGAGATGAATCTGAGGAAGTGTGTGAACTTTCTGGAAAAGCTAGTGAGGGATCATCACTTAGCCCTCTTCGCGACAACCCAGACACTTATGCAGAAATCTACAAACTCTGCAGACAGCTTTTTTCCTTTAAAATTTCAGCGTGAAAGCGATACAGACTATCGACCTTATCTTTGTAAATCATGGCAACAGCTGGTAACCCACAGGATATTTTTCTCGAAGCAGTGTAGTTCTGGCAACAGCAAAGGTTTTACAGTCGTTTCTTGCCACCTCAAAAGAAACCAGGTAGTAAAACGTTCATTTGGCATTGCAGAATGTGGAGTTCAGTTTTAACTGAGGTTTGTTTTTTAATTGTGCAGCAAATCCTGGTGCTTAAGGCCTGATTAGGTCTAAGTAGTTTTTAGAACCTTTTTAAACTAATTGGCTGTTGCTGGATGATTAACAAGTTTTGTCACCATTTTCTTAAAATTCACTGAAGGGCAGGAAATGGTAAAACTTTTGAATTACTGTAGATGTTCAGTCCAAGCTAGCGAAGAATGTTGAAATTACTTGTTTGTGCTTAATGCATAAAGAGGTTAAATCAAGAAAAAGATAACCAAAGACATTTTAAACTAGTATCCTTCAGTAATCTGACTTACCTGATATGCAGCCAACTGCACTGACTTCATTTCTGGGTCTTGCTGCTTTCCACTCGCCTTCCAAGCTCCACCAATAGGACCCCAGTGTCCGTGGGGAGACTGCAGAAAGGCAAGTGTTCCCTCTTTATAAATATTGGTCTTGGGTTATTCCCAGTAGCCTGGGGCATATGAAATGCCTTTGCCTGAAGAAGAGGATTCATTTTCACAGCCTGTTACTTCGTGGTAATCCTGGCCACGCTTCTCCCAGCTCGCAGCCTCTCTGGTTAATTTAGCACGTGCCTGGAGAAGCAAGGATTGCAGGTGTTTTGACCCCTACAAACATCTGGGTTTGAAGAATCTACAGCGATCGCAGAAATGGAGGCCTGATTTCCATAACTGAAAGAAAACTGAAGACCCAGCTCTGGGTACTTGTGAGTTTGTGCTGCACGCATCAGTTTAGTCTTTGAAAATAATGAAGTGTGGGTTGTTTTGGGTGTGGGGGGTTGTTTTTTTGTTGGGTGGGGTTTTTTTTTAGATGTATACACAGGCACAATTTTTTTTTCTCTGCCCTTCCTCATTATTCCCTCCCACTTCTTTCCCTTCCCCCACTCTCTCTAAGAAACCCAGTAATGCCATGCCTCTGGTCTTTACCAATATGTGTTTGCCACTTGTATAACATTTGTGTGCAGGATTTGGCATGCAACGTGTTGTAATTCTGGCAAAGAAGATTCAGAACTTATGGGAAATGCCCTACAGTTCTGGCAAAGACTACCATCTTATTTATTAACCTAGGGTGCCCTTTGAAAGCTTCAAAGTGCTGTACAAGAAAGAAAATTGCACACAGCGTATTATTTCATACAAAAACTTACATTAGCTTACAAATTTAAATTACTCAAACAAGGGGAAAATATTTCTCACAGCAATATTCGTTCAGTCATGTCGCCCAGCACATTTTATAGTTTAGATTGAACAGATTATTAAGAAAAATGCATATTAAGAAGTAGTATCTAGCACAGTATCTTTTTGAGGCAGATGCCTAAAAAACTCTATTGTGAGACACTTAGCTTTTAATTTCCTGACTTCTAAATCCAGTTTTTCCAGGCTGAACGTATATCTGGATTCCCAGCTGTGTATAGCTCGGCATTGCGTTCCCAGACTTCTGTATATAGAGCTAGGAGTGTATATCCATTCTGATGATTATAAAACTTGGCATCTCTGTCATTCGGCTGGGTTTTTGCAGAGATGATGAGTGTCCTACCTCTAAGAGCAGCCAGTACCAAAGGTTTTGGGAGGAGTGTGGGAACGATCCGTTTCCACTAGCACAGGCTCCCCGGGCCTGGGGAGCTTCTGGCCAGAGCCTGCGGTCAGACCACTGTTTAATGGCTGTTGGTCAGACCTGTCCTCCGTGAATTCATCCAGTTCATTTTTAACTTAACCTCTTTGCTTCCACCGTGGCTTTTCACAGTGAGTTCAGTTGAATTATTCTTTCTCTGGGAAAACTTCCTCCCTGCCACCTCCCCCCTTTTAAACCTGCCATCTCATCTCTTCTTCACAACATCGGTTCTTTCACTGTGACACATGAGCGAACTTTGCCCTTTCAACATCTCTGCAGAGGTGATGATTTCATGGACTGTTGTTTCATTTGTGCTTTCATCAACACCAAAACTTGCCGAAGTACCCAAATTCACAAAAAACATACAACTTAACCATTCAGCCTAGACTGGACCCAAGTTAGATGGTTTAACATGAGTAGAAACTTCCACTGGGAATTATGATAAAGGACATACTCGCATTTTTTGGTAAAAAAAAAAAAAAAAAGGGGGGGTGAAGATTCAAGTAGAGCTACAGAACTTTTAAATATGAAAATGATAGAACTACATAAGTTTTACTACATTAAAAAAGTCCCCGTTTCTATCAGGGAATACAGCTCCACTGAAGATTAACTGCTTCATAAAATCATACTTGCTAAAAAATACATTTGAGAAAAACCAATGGAAATGTTCTGGCATTCC